CTAATATGTTCGTGACACAGGATTTTCCGTCTCTGAATCCGTTCTGGTTGTCGTTTATAAGCTCATCCCTTTCTAGGTGGTCCACTCACTTCACTGTGTGTGTGTGTGTGTGTGTGTGTGTGTGTGTGTGTGTGTGTGTGTGTGTGTGTGTGTGTGTGTGTGTGTGTGTGTGTGTGTGTGTGTGTGTACTCACCTAGTTGTACTCACCTAGTTGAGGTTGCGGGGGTCGAGTCCGAGCTCCTGGCCCCGCCTCTTCACTGATCGCTACTAGGTCACTCTTCCTGAGCCGTGAGCTTTATCATACCTCTGCTTAAAGCTATGTATGGATCCTGCCTCCACTACATCGCTTCCCAAACTATTCCACTTACTGACTACTCTGTGGCTGAAGAAATACTTCCTAACATCCCTATGATTCATCTGTGTCTTCAGCTTCCAACTGTGTCCCCTTGTTACTGTGTCCAATCTCTGGAACATCCTGTCTTTGTGTGTGTGTGTGTGTGTGTGTGTGTGTGTACATGTGCCGAATAAGTAAAACTTGCGATTTCAGTTTAAATAGTAACGCTCTTCTTGCTGAATATGGCAAGCGAAAATTTGTGTATGCAATAATTTCGCAAAAATCATTCTGAACTTGACAAAACAAAAGTATATTTCATTATATTTGTTTATTATTAAATTACTGCAAACCTATCTTAGCTATATTTAGTTGGATTAGGTTAAATTAAATTGCGCGTGTTATAATAAGGTTAGGTAAGTTTTCTAAGATTCTTTTGGTACAAAATTATTATTTTTTACATTAACATAAAGAAAAAAATATATCTAAAAACGCATAAGAGAAAATTTTAGAAAGGACTTAATTTTGAATGAGTTCTTGCTAACTGACCAGTTTTACCTATTTGGCACAACATATATATATATATATACAGCTACAGTTTTCAACTGTGGCCTCTTGTTGTCCCTACTGCACACAAGTAAGACATTTGCAACGGTTGGGTATCTTTATTCTTGAGATGTTTCGCCTACGCGGTAGGCTTTATCAAATACAGAATAAAGATACAAGATACCCAACTGTTGCGAACATGTCTTATTAGCTTGTCTGTATTATATACCAGCATTCCTGTATTATATATCAGCATTCCTACTCCACACACCCAAGAAATCCTCATCTATGGCTTTTAAGATGGTGTTTCGGGGATCAACGCCCCCGCTTTTATAGGGGGTGATATCCGTGTGCTCGTGTGCAAATTGGGGATTAATCCCTCTAGGATTTTCCAGGTGTAAATTATGATGCATCTTTCGCCTGCAGGAGTACAAGTCAAGGGACTTCAAATGTTCCCAGTAACTGAGGTGCTTTACTGTACTTATACATGCAGTGAAAGTTCTCTGCAAATTCTCCAGATCTGCAATTTCGCCTGCCCTGAAAGGAGCCTTTAGTGTACAGCAGCACATTACAGTACTCCTGGACTCTTTCAAAAATGTCAATAGACTCTAGATTGCCTATCAAATTTTCTCCAATGGATTTGGATAAGGTTAAAATCTCCCATTAAAATCATATCGTTTCTAGATACGTGAGCAATTTCAGTCCAAAGTGGATTACAGCGGTCATTTTCATACCCTTCGAGAAACTGCAGCTAAGCAGATTCCGTGTCTGTCCCTTTCATCTTTATATAGTTTCTGACGGAACAGTTTAAAATTTTCCCTTAACATACTTAGCAATTCCGCCCCTGTTGACTATCAATGTGCAATAATTTATACCCCTGCATGTGAAATTCAGCTGACTTGTCCCTGTTTTATAGATCTGCCAGGTTTCAGTTACTGCAATAATATCTGTGTTTCTTGTATATATAATTAGTCTTAGTTCATCTCTTATATTTCTTGCACTACGGTTATTTGTATAATATTTACTAAAGAACTTTTTACCTTACTTACCCTTCACCCTGTCTCGTTTTGCTTGTATACCAATTTTCCTGTTTTCATCAGGAACTGTTATAAGAGGTATCCTGTTTTCTGAACGTTTGCCTAACATATCTTCAAACAAATTTACATTTGTCACTTACAATCAGTATTACCAGCCAATCTAAAGGCCAACACTGTTTTAAATATTTGTCTCATTATTATATATATTTATCGCACTATAGTAAAATCAAATTGTTTGTATTAAATTAAATCAGTAATCAATAGTTAAAGAATATTTATCTTAAACTTAGCTGACACACGAGCAATGAATTATTTTTCATCTTCCTAATTCGCAGTCCTGGAGAATGTCAGAGACGCTGGAGGGCGGGGCAGGAGGGAAAGTAATTACACGACGCGATCGTCTACTGAATTGAGACAAAAAATAACTATAAATAGCAGGAATTTGCAGGTAACTCAGACTAGTGTATTTAATTCGTTAGAGTAATAGTTACGTGAGTGTACTGTAACGTTAAGACGTTATGGGATAAGCTAGTTTGGACAGGCTAATGACACTAAAACTACACGATATAATAATAGTATTATTACAGGACATCGACTGATTCATTGTAACATTACTAGACATAACATCACTAAGTTTCAGGTATTATAATGTCTACCTCTACGAGATCAATAATTGAATCGACTACTGTCCATATCCACTGAATTCTTCCATCTTTTCCATGACTGTAGAACCTTCAAAAGTTCCTTGAACGGCAGCAGGTGACGCTAGGCTCTGAGCCCCCGTGTTTGTTACATCACCTTCTTGAACGGCAGCAGGTGACGCTAGGCTCTGAGCCCCCGTGCTTGTTACATCACCTTCTTGAACGGCAGCAGGTGACGCTAGGCTCTGAGCCCCCGTGTTTGTTACATCACCTTCTTGAACGGCAGCAGGTGACGCTAGGCTCTGAGCCCCCGTGTTTGTTACATCACCTTCTTGAACGGCAGCAGGTGACGCTAGGCTCTGAGCCCCCGTGTTTCTTACATCACCTTCTTGAACGGCAGCAGGTGACGCTAGGCTCTGAGCCCCCGTGTTTGTTACATCACCTTCTTGAACGGCAGCAGGTGACGCTAGGCTCTGAGCCCCCGTGTTTGTTACATCACCTTCTTGAACGGCAGCAGGTAACGCTAGGCTCTGAGCCCCCGTGTTTGTTACATCACCTTCTTGAACGGCAGCAGGTGACGCTAGGCTCTGAGCCCCTGTGTTTGTTACATCACCTTCTTGAACGGCAGCAGGTGACGCTAGGCTCTGAGCCCCCGTGTTTGTTACATCACCTTCTTGAACGGCAGCAGGTGACGCTAGGCTCTGAGCCCCCCGTGTTTGTTACATCACCTTCTTGAACGGCAGCAGGTGACGCTAGGCTCTGAGCCCCCGTGTTTGTTACATCACCTTCTTGAACGGCAGCAGGTGACGCTAGGCTCTGAGCCCCCGTGTTTGTTACATCACCTTCTTGAACGGCAAGCAGGTGACGCTAGGCTCTGAGCCCCCGTGTTTGTTACATCACCTTCTTGAACGGCAGCAGGTGACGCTAGGCTCTGAGCCCCCGTGCTTGTTACATCACCTTCTTGAACGGCAGCAGGTGACGCTAGGCTCTGAGCCCCCGTGTTTGTTACATCACCTTCTTGAACGGCAGCAGGTGACGCTAGGCTCTGAGCCCCCGTGTTTGTTACATCACCTTCTTGAACGGCAGCAGGTGACGCTAGGCTCTGAGCCCCCGTGCTTGTTACATCACCTTCTTGAACGGCAGCAGGTGACGCTAGGCTCTGAGCCCCCGTGTTTGTTACATCACCTTCTTGAACGGCAGCAGGTGACGCTAGGCTCTGAGCCCCCGTGTTTGTTACATCACCTTCTTGAACGGCAGCAGGTGACGCTAGGCTCTGAGCCCCCGTGTTTGTTACATCACCTTCTTGAACGGCAGCAGGTGACGCTAGGCTCTGAGCCCCCGTGTTTGTTACATCACCTTCTTGAACGGCAGCAGGTGACGCTAGGCTCTGAGCCCCCGTGTTTGTTACATCACCTTCTTGAACGGCAGCAGGTGACGCTAGGCTCTGAGCCCCCGTGCTTGTTACATCACCTTCTTGAACGGCAGCAGGTGACGCTAGGCTCTGAGCCCCCGTGTTTGTTACATCACCTTCTTGAACGGCAGCAGGTGACGCTAGGCTCTGAGCCCCCGTGTTTGTTACATCACCTTCTTGAACGGCAGCAGGTGACGCTAGGCTCTGAGCCCCCGTGTTTGTTACATCACCTTCTTGAACGGCAGCAGGTGACACTAGGCTCTGAGCCCCCGTGTTTGTTACATCACCTTCTTGAACGGCAGCAGGTGACACTAGGCTCTGAGCCCCCGTGTTTGTTACATCACCCTCCATCAACAAAATGTAACTGACTAGGTAATCATTTTTACTGTAATAATTTTCCATAACATTATTAACATATTTTTACTTGGCGCAAATTATGAATAATGTTAAAGTCCAGCACCTGTTCAGTCGTTAGTCAAATCTTGTGTTCATTACTATGTTCCTTCATCTTCAGTTTAACTACTGATTAAAGAGGTCAGTGTTCATATTAGACTGTATACTAATAATCCTAGATATATTAATTTAATATTTCTTATAAAGAATAGGAATTAATCAATATATGGATCCCACTTATTTCATAGAGCAGTTTACTAGAGGAGTCATGGCCGTTGGGGATCCAGCGACTTTCTCTGAGTCCAGTCTTAGGTAAGTAGAAATGAAAAAAAAAAAATTCCTCACCTAGCTTTTCCACACGAAATATTCTATATTTGGTCTTTTCAGAGTAGTTCGAGGCATTTTCCGACATACTTCATTTTTTACCTAAAATATTTAGATTATTACAGTTTTAATCGAAAGTGATGATAATTTCCGATTTTTCGGACTATTTCCTGCTTACCACTAATGAGCAGAGAGTTCAATTCATTGTCATAAATTACCTTCAGTGCCGTGAACACAAACATACAAAATTACAGTGAAAAAAAAATGAGGAAAAAATGAAAAATAGGAGAGAGACTGGTAGTGGAAGCGTAACTTACGAAGACATCGATGTCGTCTTTTGTGCTTGGCGTGATGGGTCGCCGCACCCTGATCATGGTGTGTGTGTCGTTCTGTCGGCCAGCCATCAACTTCCAGTCCTGGGACTCGTCCAGGATTGGCGGCCCATTCTTGGACGCCCAGTAGTCCTGTAACAGAGAAAGTGACTGATAACAAAAACAAATTTGATCCAGATATATTTTTGTTAAGTCAGGCAGAAAGAGAAGATGAGGTTTAAATTAAAGAAAGGGATCAACCCTGCAAGTCCAGTAACAAAGGGAGACAGTCCGTTTCTGTTTTCAAGATCCGATGAATACCAGCATTGTTTAATTAAGCATTTTACAGAATTTGCAGATACAAGAGGGAAGCCATGAATATGGTTATATATCATTTATGGCCATAATTTCTTTTCTAAAATGGATGTCTAAATCAGAGGTGGCCAAAATCTCTCTGGAGATTTGGGTTCAGAAAATGTCCCATAACTCCACAGAGACTTCTTATACAGCGGCACAGACAACACAGTATGCACAGAAAACAGTAAAGAAAGAATTGGAGTCTGGTATATTAATGTAGATTGAATCCGCAACAAAAGTTAAATTATGAAGGAAACAGTAGGAGATGAAAACCATGATAAAATAGCTATTACTGAGACGAAATTCTTAGGAATAATAATAAATGCTATATTCCCGGGGGGAGGAGGATATAGAATAATAAGAAAAGAAAGGGTTAATAAAATAAGAGGTGCAACACTGGTCAAAAGCCACTAGTGGTTTGAGGAACTAGAAATCTGAAAATGGATTTTCCTGAATTATACAGCAGGAACTGTAATGTCTGAAGAGACAATACCAAACAATAGGAAACCAGGGAAAAAATGATCTGAATAACAGAGCTATGAGTCACTTATGGGAAATAGTGAGAGCGAGAAGCAGTGCTAGCTTTCTGGTACAGGATTTCAGCCAAATAAAGTTCTGTAACACATCTATACTCCAGTTCATTCAACATATAAAGAGAGAGACAGACAAGAGGTGCTACATTACAGGCCAGTATCTCTAACATATATGTTGTCAAAAATTCTGGGAAATGTAAGGAAAATGGTATTGGAACATTTGGAGAAGACTCTTTAGAGAAAACTAACACCGATTTAACTGTGGACAATCTTGTCTTTCGAAAGTGTTAAGAGTTCTACAACAGTCACAGAAAAAAAATAAAGCAAAGGTTAGGCGGCCCGAATAATTTTGAACTGAAAAAAACATCCATCTGACACAGTACCACATCAGAGATGAATCCAGAATTAGAAGAACAAGCAAGGTTAAAATATAAAAGGGGTTCAGTTGATCAGGGAGAACATGAAAGACAAAGCAGAGTCATAACAATGAATGAAACATCAGAATGGGAAAGAGAATGAGTGAGGTCGTCAAGCATTAGTAATACAACTTCTGCTATCCCTAATATATGTCAGCGACCTACCAGAAGAGACTGAGTTTCAAATGTTATTGATTGCTGATGTAAAACTGTTGAGAGAAAAAAAATGAGAGAGAAATGTAAGCGTGATCTCAACAGAATGTAGTTATGGTCCATCAAAGTAGATTTCAAATAAATGCAAGAAATTTGAGGAGGTATTCTTAAAGGTAGAGTGCACGAACGAACACTAGACACAATACATACAACAGGAGAAGAAGCGAGGAAACTACTGAGTAAGCTAAGTGTCTCAGATTTAATGGGCTAAAATAAAATCTTTCCGTGGGAGAGAGAGAGAGAGAGAGAGAGAGAGAGAGAGAGAGAGAGAGAGAGAGAGAGCGAGAGAGAGAGAGAGCGAGTAGAGAGAGAGAGAGAGAGAGAGAGAGAGAGAGAGAGAGAGAAGAGAGAGAGAGAGAGAGAGAGAGAGAGAGAGAGAGGAGAGAGAGAGAGAGGGAGAGAGAGAGAGAGAGAGAGAGAGCGCACTGTGCGCCACTAACCACAATCTTTATAGTCAATGTACATACATATATACATACATATATTCTCTTCCATACAAAACAGGCTGTCTGTCGATAATCGCTTTTGACAACTGGTAACACACACACACACACACACACACACACACACACACACACACACGGCTCAGGGAGAGTGACCTAGTGGCGATCAGTGAAGAGGCGGGGCCAGGAGCTCGGACTCGACCCCCGCAACCTCAACTAGGTGAGAACTAGGTGAGTACACACACACACACACACAAGAGCCTTTGACAGATGGTAACTACTGCACACTTCCCAGGGCACACACAGGTCATATTTAACTCCGTAATTTAATGTAAATGCAGCTTCCAGACACTATTTTAGAAATAATATTCGACACATTATAATAAAAAATGAATTGATAAACTTACAAAGGTCATAAAGCACCACAGTATTCGACACAAAATTCAGAGATAAAACTCCGATGATAATTTGTAGTCGAGGTCCCTACTGCTGAGTACTGGAAATATGTAAGTGCCAGCCAGGCCTTAAATCCCAACAACCCGGGCCTCGCCTCGCTCTGGTGCTGATCTGAGCTTTTTTTTTTTTTCCTTCTCTCATTCCCATTCCCACCCTTCCATAAATTCCCGTCCCGTATTCCTGGCTCACAATCCCCAGCCTCGCCGCTCGACTGGTCGCGAACTCCCGTTTTCTTCTTTGATAAACATTACTTTATTTCATTCAAAATCCGTTTTACGCGAATTTCTTTTGTGTGTTAAATTGCCTCGCATCATTTCCTGCACCCACCCTATTTATTTTTCCCTCGTTCTAATTCCACTTCCTAAACATATAGAGCTCATGGCTAGAGGAACCTGGACACGCCTACCCATTTTGGCATTACGTGATTACATCGTAAGCGTTTATTTCATTTTCTGTCATATCTGATACATATATTTTACTGTTTTGCTTATTAATATTATATGTAGTATCCTTGGAATGTGAGTGAGAGAGGTTTTTGTTTTATCCTAGAATAAAGATACATGACTGTACAGAATAAACATGTTGAGCTAATATATAATGAACAGCCTATATGCAAGGGATATATCATTGATGGCGAGTGAACAATATTCTGACGAGTCTACAAAGTTTATTACTAAACTGTAGTCAGCGTTGCTTATTGTACAATTACGCGGGCCACCATCTAGGTACATGTGCAACACTCATCTTTATTGCCGAAACGTTTCATCTACATAGCAGGCTTCTTCAGTCGAATGCTGAGGTAGCTAAAATTGGAGACAGAAGCAGCAATGGGAGAAATAAAGAAGCCAAAGTCTTGCACATTTGTTTCACCCATTAACTTGTCGGTATTGTTTACCTTTATTATAATGGTTAGCCGAGTGGATTCCTTTCTGACCCCAAAATCACCTTGAGAGATAATTCACAGGTACAGGACGACTGTCTTCTGTTTATTAAACCTGGCATTCTAACCAAAGAAAGTCAATCAGTGTGGTTTATTTCCCGTAGAATACTTTTGTCCTCTTTGAGAGGATGTGACTTATAACATTCGACCGTGAGTATATCTGAAGTATACCGGGAGAGTGTTCCACTGTGTAGCATTGTGGCACTGTGTGATAGTGTGGCACTGTGTGATACAGTGTAGAACTGTGTGATGCAGTGTGGCACGGTGTGATGCAGTGTAGAACTGTGTGATGCAGTGTGGCACTGTGTGATAGTGTAGCACTGTGTAATGCAGTGTAGAACTGTGTGATGCAGTGTGGCACTGTGTGATGCAGTGTGGCACTGTGTGATGCAGTGTGCACTGTGTGATTGCAGTGTGCACTGTGTGATGCAGTGTGACACTGTGTGATGCAGTGTAGCACTGTGTGATAGTGTAGCACTGTGTAATGCAGTGTAGAACTGTGATGCAGTGTGGCACTGTGTGATGCAGTGTGACACTGTGTGATGCAGTGTGGCACTGTGTGATGCAGTGTGGCACTGTGTGATGCAGTGTAGAACTGTGTGATGCAGTGTGGCACTGTGTGATGCAGTGTGGCACTGTGTGATGCAGTGTAGAACTGTGTGATGCAGTGTGGCACTGTGTGATGCAGTGTGGCACTGTGTGATGCAGTGTAGAACTGTGTTATGCAGTGTGGCACTGTGTGATCAGTGTAGCAACTGTGTATGCAGTGTGCACTGTGTGATGCAGTGTGGCACTGTGTGATGCAGTGTGCAACTGTGTGATGCAGTGTGGCACTGTGTGATGCAGTGTGGCACTGTGTGATGCAGTGTGGCACTGTGTGATGCAGTGTGGCACTGTGTGATAGTGTAGCACTGTGTAATGCAGTGTAGAACTGTGTGATGCAGTGTGGCACTGTGTGATGCAGTGTGGCACTGTGTGATGCAGTGTGGCACTGTGTGATGCAGTGTGACACTGTGTGATGCAGTGTAGCACTGTGTGATGCAGTGTAGCACTGTGTGATGCAGTGTAGAACTGTGTGATGCAGTGTGGCACTGTGTGATGCAGTGTGGCACTGTGTGATGCAGTGTGGCACTGTGTGATGCAGTGTAGAACTGTGTGATGCAGTGTAGCACTGTGTGATGCAGTGTGGCACTGTGTGATGCAGTGTGGCACTGTGTGATGCAGTGTGGCACTGTGTGATGCAGTGTGGCACTGTGTGATGCAGTGTGGCACTGTGTGATGCAGTGTAGAACTGTGATGCAGTGTAGAACTGTGTGATGCAGTGTGGCACTGTGTGATGCAGTGTGGCACTGTGTGATGCAGTGTGCACTGTGTGATAGTGTAGACACTGTGTGATGCAGTGTAGCACTGTGTGATGCAGTGGCACTGTGTGATAGTGTGCACTGTGTGATGCAGTGTGGCACTGTGTGATGCAGTGTAGCACTGTGATAGTGTAGACTGTGTGATGTGTAGCACTGTGTGATAGTGTAGCACTGTGTGATGCAGTGTGGCACTGTGTGATGCAGTGTAGCACTGTGTGATGCAGTGTGGCACTGTGTGATAGTGTAGCACTGTGTGATAGTGTAGCACTGTGTGATAGTGTAGCACTGTGTGATGCAGTGTGGCACTGTGTGATGCAGTGTGGCACTGTGTGATGCAGTGTAGCACTGTGTGATAGTGTAGCACTGTGTGATAGTGTAGCACTGTGTGATAGTGTAGCACTGTGTGATGCAGTGTGGCACTGTGTGATGCAGTG